ACATATGGTCAATTGATTTACAGCAGAGGGGTTGAGTACATGAAATGGAGAGAGACTCTTTGTCTAATGGTGCTTGGAAAACTAGATAGCCACAGGCAAAAAAATTTAGACCCCATATCTCACACCATACAGAAGGACTGACTCACAATGGATTAAAAATCTTGTCATAGGAGTAAGTCCTAAGCACAACTGGGTGTGGCCCAAACCCCACCCCAAAGAAATGGAGGCATATGTATGTACACACACACACACACACACACACACACATATATTAACTGCACACGTGAATACCCCTCAGCTGTAGCACTGTACTGTAGCATTGGCCTCCCATTGTTCATCAGTTTGCTTGAGTAGGCACCAATAACATCTCCATTGTGAGACTTTTTACTGTTTTTGGCATATCAAATATGTCACAGGTAGCTTGCCAGGCTTTTCCGTGCGGGCGGGATACTCTCCCTAGCTTGCCGGGCTCTCCTAGAGGGACGGAAGAATTGTACCCGGGTTGACTGCTTGCAAGGCAAACTCCCTACCCCCTGTGCTATCACTCCACCCCTCAGCTATGAAAGATAAATCTTGCTTGTTGCTACAACTTGGAATTGAAGGTGTTACGATAAATTTAAGTGGGGGGCTGGAGAGATAGCACAGTGGATAGGGCGTTTGCCTTGCACGCGGCCAACCCGGGTTCGATTCCCAGCATCCGATATGGTCCCCTGAGCATTGCCAGGAGTAACTCCTGAGTGCAGAGCCAGGAGTAACGCCTGTGCACCGCCAAGTGTGACCCAAAAAGCAAAAAAAAAAAATGAATGAAGTGATCAGAGAGGAAGAGAGACATTAGATGATCTTGCTCATATGGAATATAAGAGAACAAAGCAAGGTACACTCAATAGAACTATAATCTGAGAGTGCTGAGGGGTGGGGAGGGGGACAGTGGGTTAATGGTGGAGGGATTCCGGGACTCTGGTGGCAGAGCGGCACTGCAAGTATAAAGTAATAATACTGGTACTGTTGCTAAAATAATATTTTAAATAATAAGAAGCAAAGTAAGGGCCAATGAGAATAAACCCCGAGATTCTGCCTATTGAACTGAACCCGTTAAGTGATAATGGGTGAGGGAACAAGAAGGGACAGTGAAGAAAGGGATGTCACTTTGGTGATGGGTGTGGTACAATGACATTGTATGCCTATACTCAATTAAATTGATTGTGGGTGTCTGAGAGAAGTACAGCAGATAGGGTGCTTGCCTTGCATGCAGCTGGCTCTAGTTCAGTCCCGAGCACCCTGTAATGTCCTCAGGTCCCACCAAGAGTGATCTATGACCATAGAACCAGAGTAAACCCTAAGCACAGAAAGATACATTTCTTATATTCTTATATATGAGCAAGCTCATCTGATAGCTCTCTTTCCCTCTGTACCCAAAAACAAGTAGAAGTTTTGCTGAAAGAAACAAAGTCAACATAAGGCCAGGGTTATGATTCAGGTGCTAGAGCATATGCCTAGAATGTGCAAGTCTCGAGTTTTATCCCCCACACTGTTGTGGGAGATATCCCACAGTACCACCAGCATCACAGGACCAAGCACTACATCCTTGGGCCCTAATACTGAACTGTCCAGTGTTCAGTGGACATTTGAACATTGAACTAGTTGGCCAAGTTTTGCCAGTAGTAGTATCCATGCCTCCTGAGCACTGCTTGGGAGCTAAAAATAAATAAAATTATTGTTGTAAGTGGGCTGGAATGATAGCACAGCGGGTAGGGCATTTGCCTTGCACATGATTGACCTGGATTCAATTCCCAACATCCCATATGGTCCCCTGAGCACCGCCAGGGTAATTCCTGAGTGTATGAACCAGGAATAACCCCTGTGCATTGCCAGGTGTGACCCAAAAAAGAAAAAAAATTATTGCTGTAAAAAAAGATCATCTAAGCCTTCAAGTCATAGTTTTTTTGCTGCAGAACTGACTTTTGTGTTTTGTGAAGAAGGAAGGGAGGAAAGGAAGGAGGGAAAGAAAGAAAAAGGGGGGGAGGCTGGACCAATACCCCAGCGGGTAGGATGTTTGCCTTGCACATGGCCAACCCAGGTTCGATTCCCAGCATCCCATATAGTCCCCTGAGCACCGCCAGGAGTAATCTCTGAGGGCATGAGCTAGGAGTAACCCCTGTGCATCGCCGGGTGTGACCCAAAAAGCAAAAGAAAAAAAAAGAAAGAAAAAGGGTCAGAGCCATTGTACAGCTGATTTTCCTTGCATGCAGCTGACCTGGCTTTGATCCCTGGCACCATGTATGATTCCCTGAGCACAATCAGGAGTGATCCTAGAACACAGAGCCAGGAGTAAGCCCTGAGCACCATTGGGTGTGCCCAACAACTGCACACATGAATTGTGCAGAGAGGGAGATTGCACAGTGCATAGGGCGCTTTCCTTGCATGCAGCCAACCAAGGTTAAATCATGACATCCCATAGGGTCCCCCAAGCACCGCCAGGAGTAAGCCCTGAGCATCGCCAGGTATAGCCCAAAAACCAAAACAAAACAAAACAAAACAAAAAAAAACAACAAAATTTTATGGTCATGTATTATTTTAAGAACTATTTAATATTTAAATCGATATGATGCAGGGTTAATTTGAGAAAAGATGGCTTGAATTCAGAGTTTTAAGAGTGGAGAATCCAAAAGGAAATTGGGAGGAGCTTGGCTTCTAAACAGTACTTAGGAGGTCCAGGAACCCCTTCCAGGGATTCTTTTTTTTAAGATTTTTTATTATATATATATGATCATTGATCACTTGACATCCTGTTACTCATTGATTGCTTGAGCGGGTGCCAGTAACGTCTCCATTCGTCCCTGTCACATGCTAGTGTAGCCCAATGGCATCTGCTTGCTACAGGAACACAAAGAGCCTCAAGCCATTGGTTCAGGGTCTTGACGAAGAAATCTGACCATCTTGTAGGTGGGCGGCTATGCGTTCTTTTGACGTCAGGTGGAATCCAGTCGGTAATGGCTCTAGTCCAGCAGTCATCTTCAAATCGCATTACGTGTCCACCTCATCTGATTTTCGATGCCTTGGCAAACGAGGCAGTGTTCCTGATCTTTGATCGTCAACGGATTTCGGAACTCCGGATTCCTTCTCTCACTTGAGTGAAGCGTGATACTCCAAGCATAGTTTTTCAATTCCTCTTTGGGAGACCCAAATAGCATTCTCATCCTGTTTTCATAGGACCCAGGTCTCTGAGGTATATATTAGTGCAGGGAGAACGGTGGAGTCGAAGAGATGTACCTGGAGCCGTATATATACATGATTATATATTATATTATATATGATGTATATCATACATCAGGCCTTTGATTCTGTTGAGACAGAAGCGGTCATCAAAGCCCTAGCCAAAGAGGGCATTCAAACTCAATACATCAGGATCCTCCGTGACCTGTATTGCAGATTCACCACCAGGATCTCACCATTCTACAAGGAAGTGATCATCAATGTAAAGAGAGGGGTTCGGCAGGGTGATACCATTTCACTGAAACTCTTCAGTGCCACTTTCGAGAACGTCATGCGACAACTGGAATGGGAAGGAATGGGAGTGAAGATAGACGGTCAGCAATTGCACCATCTCCCCTTCGCTGATGACATCGTTCTAATAACACCAAACATTAGCCAAGCGGCACAAATGTTGGCCGACTTGGACCATGAGTGTGGAAAGATTGGACTGCAGCTGAATCTCACAAAGACAATGTTTATGAGAAAGGGACTCATTCCTGATGTTCCATTCGCTCTCAACAGAACGAACATCTCTGAATGCAGCTGTTATGTGTACCTAGGCCGAGAACTCAACATGATGAATGAACTGGCCCTTGAGCTGCACAGGAGAAAGAGAGCTGCAAGGAATGCTTTCAAGAGCATCGAAGAAATAGCTAAGAGGACGAAGAACCTCTGACTCCGGGCAGATCTCTTTGACTCCACCGTTCTTCCTGCATTAACATACGCCTCAGAGAACTGGGTCCTACAAAAGCAGGATGAGAACACTATTCGGGTCTCCTAAAGAGGAACTGTAAGAGCCATGCTTGGAATATTACACTTCACTCAAGTGAGAGAAGGAATCCGGTGTTTCAACCTCTATTGATGATCGAGAATCAGGGACACTGTCTCGTTTGCCAAGGCATCAAAAATCAGATGGGCTGGACACATAATGAGATTTGAAGACAACCACTGGACTAGAGCCATTACCGACTGGATTCCACGGGACGTCTAAAGAACGCATGGCTGCCCACCTACGAGATGGTCAGACTTCTTTGTCAAGATCTTGGAACAAATGGTTTGAGGCCCTTCGTGTTCCTGGAGCGAGCAGATGCCATTGGGCTACACTAGCACACAACAGGGATAAATGGAGACGTTACTGGCACCTGCTCAAGCGAATCAATGGGTAACCAGATGTCAAGTGATCAAGTGATCATATACGTATATAGATAATAAATATTTATTATATATGTGATAATACGTAATATGTATGTGATTTTATGTATATGTTGAATCATTGTGAGATCAACCATCACAAAGCTATTCCTGATTGGGTTTCAGTCAAATGGTGTCCTAACACCCATCCCTCCAGCTGTGTGCCTTTCCCACCACCAGTGTCCCCAGCTTCCCTCCCACAACCCTTCACTGTGACCCCCACACCTGCCTTTATGGCAGTCACCTTTCTTCTTTCTCTCCTGCACGAAAAGCACCTTGACCCCCGGGCTATCCCTCTGGCCTCAGAAGCTTCCCTTGTCTTCTTTGGGTACCCTGGACTTTCAGCCTGACCACATCTGGGAGCAGCTGTGTAGATGTGAATCGGGAAGGTTGGAGAAACGGGGCTTCCACCCCTGGCTGGCTCTGGCCTCCTGGGGCTTCCCCACAAACACAGGTGAAGTCAGCCCAGCGCTGTGGGCACAGCTGGCATCCTGCCCCCTTCTGGCACAATCTGTTTTCTTCAACTCACTTGTGGCTTTTTTTTTTCCTCCCTGCAGGTCTATAAAGGAGAATTTCAACTACCTGAATTTCTTAAAGAAAAACCTCAGGTACTGTATCTGCTTCCTGCTGCTTCCCCTCGAGGCCCCTGAGTCAGGACTCACCCGTGGAGGTGCACACCCTGCCCACATGAGCCCATTCCAGGCCCTGGAGGTCGTCTTGCTTTAAAAAGAGAAAGATATGTGTGGTGGCAGAAAGACTGATATCTGGCAATGGTGATTTTTTTTGGAGGGGGGTAAGGGGTTTCATTTAGTTTGGTGTGGTCTTGCCTTGTCTTTGCAGTGCCAGGAATCAAACCCAGGCAAGTACTCTACCACTGAGTTACCTCCCCAGTCCCTGATAATTGCTGGCTTTAACAATAATTTGACAGTCTTAATTTCAGAGAGCTCAGTGTCTTCTAAACCTAGGAAAGTATAAATTATTCAATAAAATGCGATGACTTGAGGTCTCACACATAGGTAGGCATCACCATGGTGAGTCCACTTCAACCTCGGTATTTACCTTGAAATTAAAAATGTATTGTTGCCACTTGTTCTTATTACATAGCTATCCTTGACTGCCTAACGGTTCTCACTTAGAGCCTAGAAAACTTGGGAGTGTATTATAGTCATTGTAACTGGGTCTCTATTAGGAAATCCCCCAAGTTGAGAAAGGATGATAACCATTGAAGCTTGTACTTTTACATTTAATAACCTAAATTCTGATCCAAAAGACATACTTATTGTCATACTCTCACTCAGATTCCCATATTGCTTCTTGAGTTGAAGAGAAGTAGAGGTAGGAATAAGCCTAGAGTAGCAGAGTATTTTGCTCTGAGCATCATCTGTGTGGGAAGGTCGGGGGGCGGGGGAGGGTGGCATCTACCCCATGAGTCCAGCAGCAGCAGCTTCCCTCTCTAACACAGTGCAAGGGGAAAATCACTAATCCCAGGTCGGACACAGTGCCTGGAGACTGCTGCTGTCAGTGATTAGCTTATCAATGAGGAAATAAAGACTTAGTACTGAAATGGGTTTCTGAAAAATGTTCTAGGAACCTGGGAGACAGCTCAAAACGCTGAGCGCGAGGTTCACGTATGGACCCCAGGTTCAATACCCTGAGCTCCACCAAGACCCTGGGACACCAAGCCAGGAGTGGTCCCCAAGTACTGCCAGATGTGACAGAAATAAGTAAATTTAAAATGTCCCAGATATGGGTTGATGAGGAAAACTACCATGTACCAGACCCTAAGTCATAGTGTCTGCGGCACCCAGAGTAAGGCCTTAGCTCTCTAAGAGATGCTCTGACTCACACCATTGAAAATTGAAGCTCCACCTCCCAGACCCTTGCCTGGAACAGTCCGACATCAGTAATTGACAGAGTACTGATAAATTTCTAACCATTTCCTAGGCGTATTCTCATTGGCATATATATATATATATATTTTTTTTTTATTTGTTTGTGGGCCATACCTGCCAGTGCCGGAGAGGTTGCTCTCATAGATGTTCTGGTACTGAGAATTTAAGCTGGGCCTCCTACACACAAAGAAACTCAGCCTGATGAGCTCTCTTTCTGGTACAATCTTGGTTTTTAATACAGATGTTTCTTAAGACTTTGTTCTTTAACTCCTGAGGTTCTTATTCTAATTTCTTACCCATAATAGAAGCTTGGTAGAAGGAGCGATAGCAGAGCGGTAGGGCATTCACCTTACAAGCGGCCAACATGGCCGACCCGAGTTCGATTCCTCCGCCCCTCTCGGAGAGCCCGGCAAGCTACCGAGAGTATTCGATATGCCAGACACAGTAACAACAAAGTCTCCAATGGACACGTTACTGGGCCCGCTCGAGCAAAATTTAAAAAAAAAAAACCATGGAATAAGTCAGTGTATTTTTTAAAAATTTTTATTAGTGAAACACCATGAGGTACAATTATTGACTTACAAATTTTGGTGCTTGGGTTTCCGTTATACAATGATCAAGTACCCATCCCTCCACCAGTAAGTCAGTGTATTTTAATGTAGGCCAGACATCTCTAGCCCTGCCTGGTCCCTGGAGTATAGAGCCAGGAGTAGCCCCTGAAAATAACCAGGTGTGGCCCAGAAAACAAAAATCAGAACAAAAGACCGTGATCAACTTTGGCACATAAGAGAAAACATTGGCCTAAAGCCCACTTCAAAAGCTGGGAGGATTCCTGGAGAAGTTGTCACTTCCAAGCTGAGGCAGTAGGAGTCAGAGAATAACACAAAAGACAGAGTCCTAAATGACTGTCAAATCCAAGTGCTAAGTCTGAAAGATTCAAGAAAGGGAATTAGCTACTAAAACAAATGTGGGGGGGAGCTGGAGCCATAGCACAACAGGTAGGGCGTTTGCCTTGCACACGGTCGACCCGGGTTCTATTCGCAGCACCCCTTATGGTCCCCCAAGCACCACCGGGAATATTTCCTGAATGCATGAGCCAGGAATAACTCCTGTGCATTGCCGGATATGATCCAAAAAGTAAAACAAATGGGACGTCCCTAATTCACAGCTATAACAAAAATCTTTTTCAGGCAGATTATAATCAAGTTTTTAGAAGACAGTATCTTCATTACCTTAAGAAGGAAGGATTTTTTTTTAAGTAGCACTGTAGCACTGTTGTCCCGTTGTTCATCGATTTGTTCAAGCAGGCACCAGTAACATCTCCATTGTGAGACTTGTTACTGTTTTTGGCATATTGAATATGCCATGGGGAGCTTGCCAGGCTCTGCCATGCGAGCAGGATACTCTTGGTAGCTTGCTGGGCTCTCTAAGAGGGACGGAATCGAACCCAGTTCGGCCGCGTGCAAGGCAAACGCCCTACCTGCTGTGCTGTCGCTCCAGCCAAGTAAATTCTAAAAAATGCTAATTATTAATTAAAATAGATTAACTTGGCTTACATTAAATTTGAGGATTTTTTTTAAATTATTATTTTGGTTTTGTTTTGAGGCTACACCAATGGTGTTCAGCGCTTACTCCTGAACCAGTAACCAGCTCAGGGATCGCTCCTGATGAGCTTGGGAGACTACACGGGGTTCCAAGGACCCCACATAGGTCCAAGTGTGCAAAACAAACACTCGACCTGCTGGACCACAGCTACAGCCAAAAACTGAGAATTATTTTCAAAAAGCATCACAAATGAAAACAAATGAGAAAATGTTCAAAACAAAAGATATATCTATAAGATATAGAGAATTTTAGCAATTCAGTGAAGGAAAGATGACAGAAAAGTCAGCAAAAGCCTCAATACTCAATAGGCACTTCAGGTCCCTTTTTTTGATAGTCTCACTTAATGCCTCACATGCATATTTAGAAGAGGAACATAGCAGACTTTAACTTATTTAACTTTTAATTTGAAAAGACTGGATTCTGGAAGATGCCTTGATAAACAATGTCTTTGGGAGTGAGGGGGCGGTGGGGAGGGTCTCAGACAACACAGGGGGTTGGGGCCACACCCTGCAAGACTCAGGGCTTATTCCTGACTCTGTGCTAAATAATTTTTGTTTCTTTTTGGGTCACACCCGGCGATGCATAGGGGTTACTCCTGGCTCTGCATACAGAAATTACTCCTGGCGGTGCTCCGAGGACCATATGGGATGCTGGTGGGCTGTGTGGAAGACCAACGCCCTACCTCTATGCTATCGCTCCAGCCCCTAAGTAATGTTTTTTAAAGCTGGTCTGCAAGTGTAGGAAGATTGAAAACCACTGGTTTCTTGCCTTGGTTATCATCGCTGGCCTTTGGACCTGTAGGCAAGACAGGCTCTGAGCGACTTGTAAACAGGTTTATGAAAAACATTTTAAAGCACGTGCCTGGACAGCCTTACCTTTAAAAGGTGGGGAAGGGGTAAGAGAAAACGGAAACCCACAGAACCTGTTTGACATGTAACAGGAAGAGCTCACAGAACTCAGATAAGACTGTACTTAGGTTACAGGTTTATTATAAAGGATATAAATCAAGACCGGACCGTTGAACTAGTACATGGGGCAAGGCTGGGAGGAACTCACACGGAGATCCTCTGCTCACTCCCTATGGGGTCAGGATACATCTCCCTTGTATCTAGCACCTTGCTGTGTTCACCAACCAGCAAGTGCCACTGAAACTAGACATCTAGAGTTTTTATGGGGGTCCAGTTCATCACAAAGATGTGATTGATGGATTAATGTCCCTGTAACCAAATTCAGTTCTGTCCCCTAGCTGGTGTTCGAGCTAGTTCAAAGCCACTGGCAGTTTCTCAGTGACAAGTCCCTGTCCCTACTCTTCCCCATCTCTTAACATAAACTCAGGTCTGATCCACAGGACTCATGGACAACAAAGGTACTCCTGTTGCACGAAATTTTCCAAGGATTCCCTACCAGAAACCTGCGACAGATTCTTCTTAACACAATAGTAGCAGAGTGGACTCATCAGAAAGTATAATCAGAGCCTGAAGGTTACGGCTAATGCGTCAGCACTAGCAGGCACATCGCATGCTCACCAGCTTCGAGGGCTATAAGACTTATAAAAAGAAAAATAAGGGAAAAAAAAGACTTATAAGACATCTTTTGTTTTCTAACAGACTGAGCAAGTGGAGTAGCAGAGCCAGGAACCTCTTTCATATATGAGGTAAGAACTGGGGTCTGGAGTGGGGAGTATTGCTAGGTCTTGGGGATTTCATGCCTGAGTTCTTTATGAGAGGCCAGGCTGGAATTCCCAAGTTCTCATGGGAAACTCTCGTGAGTCTGCCTGGAGGAGATCTGAGCTCTTTGTGGGATTTAACAATTTAATCGACTTCTCTGTATCTTAGTTTCTTCATCTGTAAAGTGTACGAGTGGTGGTACGAATTAATCATAATAATGTGGGCAAAAAGCCTGATCCTGTTATTTTTCAATATGAGGAAGAGTTTAAAATGATGAAATATTTTATGTAGAAAATAAAGCCTGGAGACTTTCAAGCCCACCCCGTCAGTTTGCTGGTAGGAAAACAGATTCTGGGGCTGGAGCGATAGCACAGCGGGTAGGGCATTTGCCTTGCACGCGGCTGACCAGGGTTTGATTCCCAGCATCCCCTGAGCACCGCCAGGATTAATTCCTGAATGCATGAGCCAGGAGTAACCCCTGTGCATTGCTGGGTGTGACCCCAAAAGCAAAATAAAGAAATAAAGAAATAATAAAATAAAAACTATAGTTTAAAAAAAAAAAGAAAAGAAAACAGATCCTAAACAGAACAGGTGACGGGTTGGTCAAGGTCGCCCAGAAGGCCCAAAGAATGTGTCTTCTGACTTCTAGATGGGTTCTTTCCATGATCTCTGCTACCTTCTCCGAGTATTTGTTACACTAATCATTTTACGCTGATATTCCTGTGGGTTTGAAGGCGGCATGTAGATTGGGAGGGTTGGAGAGGGATTGAAGGGCTGGCAGTGAGGGTTTTGCTTGCTTGTTGCTTGCTTTTGGCTCTGCTCTCAGGAATCACTTTTGGCAAGGCTCAGGGTACCACCTGGGGTGCCAGGGATCAGGCCTGGGTGCTATTAGAGTCCTACCCGCTGTGCTCTTCTTGCTCCAGCCTGGAAGTGAAAAAACATGTTGGGATTTCAAGTTCCTCTGTCACTAGCCTTAAAGTAGCAAAAAGCTTGATGGCCAGACCCACTTTATGGACGCGGGAACTGAGGCCTCATAAGACCCTTAACTGGAACTGGCACCAGAACTGGCCCAGAGAAGGCTGGACTCCACTCTGGAGAGACACTCCGGCAGGAACAAAGGGTTGTGGTAAGGGATGAAGGTGGACACCCAAAAATTCAGGTTCTTTCCCTTGAATTATTAATGGACTCATCTTCATAGAAAGTGCCACATGGGGACAGTTGGGGAGAAAAACCTACAAACCAACTCTGAAAAAAGCAAGCGGGGGCTTCCCGAGTGGAGGTGGGGGGTGGCCCCTAACGCCCTCTGAGATGTGTATTCTTAGCTCTCCCCTCCAGAGAAACCCATGACCTCGCTTGTGTGCGTCACTCTCTATCTCTCTCCTTCCTCATAATTTCTAAATAAATCTGTTTTCACTTCGCGGTTCATTTCCTCCTGAAATTCTTCTCTGTGAGGGAAGGTGATATTCCTGGTAAAGACTGAATAAGATTTAGGACTGACTTTTCTTTTCTACAAAGAGCAGTACCTCTTTCTAGTCTGGGTTCCACAGCTCCCAGAGAAATTAGGTGGCAGGGACCATTTCCCGAGCTGTACAGAACACGTGCCACCAGGCGAGACATCAGGTCTGTGCCGTGCAGGTGCTCCTGCAGACTCCCATAACCCCGGGCCCTCTCCAGACACTTCCCTGGGTGCCCAGGGTGGGTAGAGAGGGAAGAGGCAGACACCCTTCTCGAAACACATATGCCACCCACAACAGGTGGGTTGGGTTTTTTACCCCAAGTCTGCCCTTAATATATTTAATGTATTATGATGTCAGGTTTGTAACCTATTTGGTCTCTTGGTAGCTGAGAGCTGCCATGTGGACTAGATCAGCCAAACCATATATATCTGAGTAATAGATACATGCCCTGGAATGCTACTCAACTAATGGGTTTCTCTCTAAATCCCAGTCTCTGATGGAGCTGCTCAGGGCTCATCCCCCTCTCTCACACTTTATTGTTTTGATCACACCACAGCTTTCACTCGAAATTTGAATTTTGCCCACCTATGTAAGGCCCCTATGTAAGAACCAGCCACCACCATGCTGAGACTACTCTCCGCACACATGAAGGTACCGGCAGAGGAACAAAGGCATGCGGGTCCCGGGGCTGAGATCTCCAAGCCTACTCGGATCAGGGCTGAGCATCCTCCACCCAGATCCTCCAAATTCCAGTAGGTAGGGGTCACACCCACCAACTGGCCCCCTGGCACTGTGTAATCCCATCAACGGCCAAGACTCAGAGACTATAAAACCCACCTCCCGGAAGCGCGTGGCCGCATTTGCAGCCGCGCGACATCTTATTATCTCATTCCTACTTTGGACAAACTGGCAGGCTACCGAATGTAACCTGCCCATACGGCAGAGTCTGGCAAACTCCCCGTGGCGTACCCAATATGCCAAATACCAGTAACAATGATGGGTCTCATTCTCCTAAAGAGCCTTGAATATAGCACTTTCTTAAAAATCTCAGGGCTAGGATGAAGGAGGCATTACTGGGGCCTGCTCGAGGCAATCGACGAATAACAGGATGGTCATGATCGTGATCATGATGTAAGGCCTGAATCAATTAGCCATATTTATCCAATCAACAAACATCAAATGAAGCACTTGTGTCAAGAGTGAGTTGCACTGCTAGCAAGGGGAAGTGCCTTCTCTCTGAAAAACCGCTGGGCTCCAATTCTAGCTCTGTGTTTACAAACCGTATGTTTAAGCAATTTCTTCAAGCTTCTCTCAATCAAAGTTTAGTTTTAAAATATTACACTCATTCTAAGTTAAATATTTTACTAAAATATTACTATTATATTGAAGCACTGTTTGGAGTATTAAATGAGATCATTCATATAAAGTACCAGATATAGTTTTGGGCAAATAGTAACTTGAAAATTTTTTTCTGTCTGATTTTCCTTTTTTGTTTGTTTGTTTGTTTGTTTTGGGGCCACACCCAGTGATGCTCAGGGGTTACTCCTAGCTCTGTGCTCAGAATCACCCCTAGCCATGCTTGGAAGACTATATGGGATGCTGGGAATTGAACCCGGATTGGCCACATCTGAGGCAAATGTACATTCATCACTTCAGCCCCACTGTCTGATTTTCTTCTTATACTTTTGCTTGCTGGTTTTATCCTTATTTTACGTAATAGGATATTAACAAATGCAGACTCCATACCAGGCACAAAATACCAAAATTATATGTTGTATAGCACTATAGTGGGCTGGAGTGATAGCACAGCGGGTAGGGCATTTGCCTTACACATGGTGACCCAGCGGACCCAGGTTTGATTCCTCTGCCCCTCTCGGAGAGCCCGGGAAGCTACCAAGAGTATCTCGCCCATACTGGCCAGCTACCTGTGACATATTCTATATGCCAAACACATTAACAACAAGTCTCACAATGGAGACGTTACTGGGCCTGCTCGAGCAAATGGATGAACAATGGGAGGACAATGCTACAGTGCAGTGCTGTAATACTATAGCACTATCCTCCCATTGTTTATTGATTTGCTTGAGCGAGCACCAGTAATGTCTCCATTGTGAGACTTGTTGTTACTGTTTTTGGCATGTTGAATATGCCACGGGGAGCTTGCCAGGCTCTGCCGTGCAGGAGAGATACTCTCGGTAGCTTGCCGGGCTCTCCGAGAGGGGCGGAGGAATCGAACCTGGGTTGGCCGCATGCAAGGCAAACGCCCTACCCACTGTGCTATTGCTCCAGCACTTACATGTTGTATATTTATATAAAATGTAAATATGAAAGTATAAATTATAAAGTTATATATTTTATATTTATAGGAAATAGAAAATATATTATGGAGTATAAATATATATAAGAAATGTATATTATATACTCCAATAGATAGCTTATGTTATATATAAGTCATACTATGTAATATACATAATATCTATGATATATATTATTTCTTTTTTTTTTCTTTTTTGGGTCACACCCAGTGATGCACAGGGGTTACTCTTGGTTCTGCACTCAGGAATTGCTCCTGGTGGTTCTCAGGGGACCATATGGGATGCTGGGAATCGAACCCGGGTTGGCCTCGTGCAAGGCAATTGCCCTGCCCACTGTGCTATCACTCCAGCCCCCTATATTATTTCATTTTAAAAGTCTCCTGATAAATAGGTGGTGTTATTCCTGTTATACTTACGGAAGATGCGATTTAATAATTTGAATAACAGATATCTAGACTTTCTGTGTGTTTGTGGATTATAGATACAAAAAGCATGTGAGGGGCCAGAACGATAGTGCAGCTGTTAGGGCATTTGCCTTGCACACAGCAGACCTGGGCTCAATCCCCGGCATCCCATATGGTCCCCCAAGCATCGCCAGGAGTAATTCCCGAGTGCAGAGCCAGGAGTATTCCCTGAGCATCACTGGGTATGGCCCAAAAAGAAAAACAAAAAGCATATGAATATGGCTATGCCATGTCGGAAGTATTGATGGAAGTGAGCTATAGTAGTATGTCTCAGGATGCATTTGCTCAGGAGCAAATGCTGACTATTTGATCTATTTTCTGAGCTTGCCAGTGTAAGAGCAGTTGTCAGGCTTTAGATAATTTGATTTATCTGAAATACTTTTAAAACCTATGGATAAATTCCCTCCCAAACACACACACACACACACACACACACACACACACACAAACACCACAGCGCGTGCTTTCATCAGTTCTTTTATAAATGTCATCCTGGTAGAGGCAGAGTGCACTGTCATTTGTGGTGTTCTCCTGAGAAATGCAGACGGGCAACAGAGCCCTTGTAGTACGCATCCACTGCTTTTGCTTATGGACGCAAAATGAGCCAAGGGACCCTGATGGGCTGAGTGGCCACTGGGCAGGACGCCCGAGAGTGGACGGTGCTGCACACCGCTAACAACTTCCTGTTTGTCTCCCTAGAGAAGACCAGCACCTTGGCACAGAGGACAGATTTCGCGGCCTGGCTCCCTTCCCAGCTCAGCGGAGTGTGTGCGCACCGAGACCCCCGTTCCAGTGCCAGTCCCCTCCCGAGAGGGTGGGGTGCGGAGGGGACCCCCGCAGGCCTTCCTGCTGATCTGCTTCTCCAGCTCTTGACCCTGACCCCCTGCACATCCCCGTGGGCAAGGCGTCCCCAGGCGACGTGTGCTTTCTGTGGAGACCGCTGTAGTCCTCATCTTTTTTACTGGATTCCAAACGTTTGTTTCCAACGGGTCCATTGAAAAACAGAATTCTTTAAGGAAAATTTGGCGGTTGTCTGTACCTGTTCTAATGTTTTGTCAAACACTTGCACCTGCTTCCATGTATTGATGTGGATAATATGAAATATCTTATTTAAATCATTGCATTGTTTCTGAGAAGCTGAGGAATGACTGTCTACATTTACAACTTAATGACTTTTGTATTTTATTTTTCAAAATAAAAGCTTTAAATGTGAAGCACTGTACTTTATGTTTTGATGTGGTTTTATTGCTGTTGTTTCAGGGAAGTGGTTAGACCCGATTAGCTGGCTTCCCAATAAACCAGTTTCTTGACTGGCTTGTACTTGTTTTCCTTTATATGTTCCCATTTGAGCAGAGCTCTCACTTGGGTGTATTTCACAGACTCCTGTGCCCTCCGTTTGTTTCAGAACCCTTTTCTTCTTTCATGCTTTCATGCTTTCGTACTATATTTGGGGACAGAACAGTTATTATCCCCAACTGTTTTCTAGAAGACAGATCAATAATTTCTATGTATGAGTTTGTCCTCTGTCCTAAGCACTGAGCATGGGTTTTTAAATGTTTTTTTTTCTCATCTTTGACCCTAAAACTATCTTCTCTAGCCTCATCCATCTTTGTAATTGTCTTTCTTTCTTTTTAAATTCCCTCCAATCTGGGGCTGTGGAGCGATAGCACAGCAGGTAGGGCATTTGCCTTGCACACAGCCAACCCAGGTTCGATTCCCAGCATCCCATATGATCCCCCGAGGACCACCAGGAGTAATTCCTGAGTGCAGAGCCAGGAGTAACCCCTGTGCATCGCCAGGTGTGACCCAAAAAGCAAAAAAATAAAATAAAAAATAAATGCCCTCCCATCCTCCCCTTGCCGTTGTTGGTGTTGTAATAATAGGCTTGCACATCTGCCTGGCTGTGGGGCTCGGGCTGCACAGCAGACGGTACTGCTCTTGCTCCGGCCAGCAGTGCTCTCCCACATGGGTACTCCGTTTACTTGGAAGTGCTTGTATGTATCCCTACAGCAGGAACACACTCTCTAGTTGAGTCACACACATTCTCATGATAGTGCCCGCGGGGTTCGCTGTGGTGTGCTCACACTTGCTTGCCAGGGGTCCCACTTCCTATCTGTGGTGATCACATAAATTTTGCCTGCAGTGCTTGCTCAGGGTCACACCCCCTTTGTTTTGGTGCCCGCATACACCATGCTTTGGTGTTGTCAGATACCATTTGCAGAGTTGGAGGTCACACGCAGCAGAGCGTCGAGGGTTTCAAACAGCGAAGCTGCCATGATCAGGGATTGAATTTGTGACCATTGGCATGCAAGGCAGGATGAACCACTGAGCTATTCCTCAGGGTCCCAGGAATTAAACTTTTCTACCCAGTTATTCAAGCTGCAGAACTAGCGTCTTCTTCCCTCTTCTCACCCATCTTACATGTATCAGACTGAGGCCATTCTCCCTACCTCACCCCTGCACTCTTGAGGGTTTTGTACTTCCTCAAACACAGCAAGGTTTTCTCCTGTCTTGGCACATGTCATCCTTTTCCTTGCAGTGTTGCTCCCTTGCTGTTTGCTTGCGAGTACTTCTCTCGGGGCTGGAGCAATAGCACAGCGGGTAGGGCGTTTGCTTTGCACGCGGCCAACCCAGGCCCTCCCCGGTTCGATTCCTCCGCTCCTCTCAGAGAGCCTGGCAAGCTACCGAGAGTATCCCACCCACACAGCAAAGTCTGGCAAGCTACCCATGACGTATTCGATATGCCAAAAACAGTTACAACAGGTCTCACGATAGAGACTAGTGCCCACTTTAGCAAATCAATGAACAACAGGACGACAGTGCTACAGTGCTACTTGTCTCAATTATCTGCCTACGTGAAGGCCACCTCAAAGACTGCCCACGCTTGCCCACCTGCCATTTGGAGTTTTTAATTCATTCATTAAATTTTGTAATCATCTTCTGTATCAGACAGTAACTTCCTAAAAGGCAGGCATTGCCTTTTCTGTTTTTTTGTACCCCTGACACCTAAGGAGGTGTCTGGAACATTCTTGGAATCCATTCTAGGAACTTTTTTGAAATGATTAAGCCTCCAAGAAACCGCTAACATGTCACTGCTCTGAGGAGGAATCAGGCCCAGCCAGATTTTGTCACTTGACGCTCAGCTGCTGCCCCCTTGGTGACCAGGTGTCTAGTCCCAGCCTGACCTAGTGTCCTTTCCAGCATGGAAGCCCCGTCTTCTGCCTCCCGACCACTTCTTTTGCAGCAACACTGTACAGAGTTTAAGTAACTCCTTGTCCAGACACCTTTTCTCTAAGGTCTAACACATTACTTTCGGGTCACACCCGGTGATGCTCAGGGGTTACTCCTGGCTCTGCACTCAGGAATCACTCCTGGCGGTGCTCGGGGGACCATATGAGATGCTGGGAATCGAACCCAGGTCGACCGCATACAAGGCAAACGCCCTACCCGTTGTGTTATCTCTCCAGCCCCTCCCTTCACTTTTTAATTCTCCAGAGCTCTATAAGCCTAAACCCTCTCCCTTTTACCTGGGAAATTCTGGTCTTGTAGGTCTCAATTATCTTGATTCCTGTTTCTTATTACTTAACTACATCCTCCTATGTAAAAAGCAGTAAAATCAGTTTCATCATAATAGTGTGGGCTGGAGCGATAACACAGCGGGTAAGGTGTGTTTGCCTTGCACACAGCCAACATGGCCGACCCGAGTTCGATTCCTCCGCCCCTCTCGGAGAGCCCGGCAAGCTACCGAGAGTATCTCGCCCGCAGGGCAGAGCCTGGCAAGCTCCCCGTGACGTATTCGATATGCCAAACACAGTAACAACACAGTCTCCAATGGAGACGTTACTGGGCCCGCTCGAGGATGATCAACGGGAGGACAGTGACAGTGACAAAATAGTGTATGTTGCATGATTGATGGATGTTAGATATTCTGTCTTTCCTATGTTAGTCTCACATTACCGCTTTGAAGGTAGGAGGTCCTTATAGAGTCTGTCACAAACAGAAGGAAGAACGTACTTAAAACTATATGATTAAACCAGCATGATTCAAGTACTTTCCCCTAACGAAACACGTGATTTTTATTCACAACACCTGCATATTCCTCGGGAATTCAGTTGTGGATGAAAGTATGTACAGGGAACCACTGCACGAAACATCCGACTCAGCCCAGCTGCCCAAAGGAAAACCTTAAATGCACTCCATTGGCCAAATAGCAAGAAATCTTTGTTGTGGTGTCTCTGTTTCTATTGGTATTTCTGGGGCTGGAGAGATAGCACAGTGGGTAGTGCGCTTGCTTTGCATGCAGCCCACTTGGATTTGAGCTCCAGCATTCCATATGGTCCCTGAGCCCACCAGGAGTGATCCCTGAACACAGAGCCAGGAGTAAGCCCTGAGCACCAAACACAAACCAACCCAAAGACACTCTTTCATGGACTGTTTCTGGTCTAAGAAAAATATGATGACGGGGGTGATGATGATGGGACATTGCTCAGGACTCACTCCTGATGGTGCTTGCAGGACCATGTGTCCTGCTGGGAATTTGAACTGGCATTGGCCACATACAAGGCAAACCCTTTAACCTCTGTACTATCTCTGCAACCCCTTGGAACAAATTTCTTTTCAGCTCAATAAGAAAAGCATTTCTTTTCCACATGACATCTTCCATCACCTATAAAAAGGTAACTGTTGCATACTGTTACGATTTCCTGGAAGCAAATGGAACTCCTGTTAAATGAAAGATGTCTAGAATAAATTTGATGATGACTGGGATGTTGCTCAGTGGCAGAACACTTCACAATATGAGCTTCACGGTATCTCTTGTGCTTGAACTTTTTCATCACAATGATAATAAATCATAACAAGGGTGGCAAGGTAAAGGAATAAGGTAGTCAAGTGGTTTGTGGCTGTTTGAAAGTTTTATAGCCAACAGGTGAGCCAGGGAAGCCAGGGAGAGGCAGGTACCATCAGTGGTAATTGGGGGAGCTTTGAGAAAGCATCAGACATGAAAACCAGAGTTTTTAAATGGGGGGGGGGGGGGAGTCTTAGGAATCAGAGGCTCCTCGTGGCCTAGACATGTGCTTTTTTATGTTTAAATATTAATTGTGCTAATTACCTTTTGAGGGAGGTTTCGTAACTACCCACAGTTAATGAGATGATGAAGAACCTTTGACTCAGGAAATGAGGTCCTCTGACACCTAGTACGCAATAGAATCAGGATCCAGGTACACGAAGCCTGAGTTCAGTGCCTATGCCCTCAGTCATGACTCTGCTTCTCAATTCCAGGACAGAAATTTTTCTGTAGCATTGTCTGACCATCTAAGTATCTCCTGTGCTTAGTAATTTGCAAGGTATAATTGGATATGGCAAGAAGCATAGACAAATTGTTGCCCTGGGGAATTAATGGCTGGGTGTAAATAAAGAGAAATGCACAGAAAATAAATAGTTTTGAAGTTCTAGCCAAATTTATAGTACTACTTAGCAAAGCCTGCTTTGTAGATGATGGATGGTGAGGTTCTAGACATTCACTTTTATCCCCAAATCTGTATTTTTGAGAGCTGCAAATCATGAGTTATCTGGGCTGGGCTTTTTTTGTGAGTGCTTCTTGGGTCACACCTGGTGATGCACAGGGGTTACTCCTGGCTCTGCACTCAGGAATTACTCCTGGCGGTGCTCAGGGGGCCATATGGGATGCTGGGAATCGAACCTGGATCAGCTGCATGCAAGGCAAATGCCCTACCCGCTATGCTATTGCTCCAGCCCCCTCTGGGTTTTTTTCCTCTGGCAAAGTCAGTATTATTAGGAAGAGTTCCTTTTTTCTCTTTTGCTGATTTTTCACAATCCAACAATTTTCTGTTGAGAAATTAAAATTTTAATTGGATTTGCATCTTTATATTTCTGCATAATTCAAAGTTAGCTACTTAAATTATTGGGCAAGCACTGGTGGAGGGATGGGTATTTGATCATTGTATAATTGAAACCCAAGCACAAAAATTTGTAAGTCTACAACTGTACCTCATGGTGTCCCACTAATAAAAAAATAAATAAATAAATAAATAAATTATAGGGCAAAAGAGGTCATTTAAATTCATTTTTGGAATTAAATTCTAACAAAACATATCAAATATTGTATGTGATATGTTGATAGAAATATAAATGACTTTGATTCTTCCTTTGAAGTTTGTTAATTATTACCAAAGATTCAAAATGGAAGATATTTTTATTTAT